GTCCCCTGCTGAACATTTTGTCAACATAGCACAGGGCATCGGCACCATNACACCACAGTATCCAGTTTCTTGTAACGCATACCACCGAATATGTTACAAATGTTGTCTAGATGCACGCTTTTCTCGACACAGCTACGGTCATTTCTCATGTCGTAGTTGTACACTTCGGGTCTCTTTGGCAATGTGATGTCCACTTTCGCCACAACTCTACAATGTCTCGGTGACGTGTCCAACCCATTCAATATGGCTAATCTATTTGACAACAGGGGGTACTGTGCAAACTGTGGTTGGCACATCAGCAGTAGTTCACGTTCCTCTTTCACGGTCAATCGGCACCCAGCGGAGATCCACCTCAAGTGGGTGATGTACCCCAGTAGTTCCTGGTGTAGGATCCAATTCACCCCCAAAACACCATCCTCCGTGGTTACTTTGTGAGTCCCGAGGAAATGTCGCAGGTACCTTGTTGATTTGGGTCTCCGTTTCACGTGGATACCCTGGGTCACGTGGAGTCCCTGTCTGCTGGCGGCGAGGAGCAGGTGGAGTCGGCAGGCATAGGCGTTGGGGTGTGGATCACTGGTCGAGGTGATTTGTCCCAGTATCTCCCAGAAGGCACGTTCCTCGCTGTTGTCACTTTCGTCTTCGAACAGAGTGGTCCGGCTGATCATGCACACCTGCTCGTACTGTCTATCCAGGAACCTGTTGAGAAGGAGGAACAAGCTCGAGGCGTAGGTCGGGACAAACAGGAAAGACCTTGAGGAGTGGACTTTGTACAAATAGTGACGACTGCCGGTGTCGATGGCAGAGAGCCAGTGTGTGTTTCCACCGTCGTAGATGAGCTCGGGCCAGGCGACGCCTTGTAGCACCTGGGCGATATCCTGGGACAGTGCCGTCACTTGGGGTATTTCGGGGAACACTCGCATGGGATACCTCACTGTACTAACCATTATATAGATACCACCGTCATGGTCGGATAACAATAAACTGTTTTCGAGGCCACGGACCAGAGCTGCGGTCAAGGGACTGTGCCATACGTCACCCATGTAGATATACAGGCCGTTGTGTTCTTGGCACATGTAACGTACATGGTTGTTGTGTAGTTCCGCATGGAATGTGAGATTTAGCTTGGTGAATTCCACAATGTCAACACTTTGTGCATTATAGGTCCATGCAAGGATATGACTCAGGTCATCCAGTCTCAAGAGGGTCTGAACAAGGTTATGTATCACAGGATCCTTTGGACAACTAAGGTTGATAAGGTGTTGTACAGGGACATCACCACTGTGTACTCGGTGTATCATGGCATTGGCCTCAGAGTGTTGGAAGTAGGTTGAATCCGGGGAAGTGTCAATAATGAGTTGTATCCAGATCCGTGTTTTGGAGTATTTCTCGGAGGTGGTGTTTTGGGGGTAGCCCGTGAGATCGGCAGTCTTGATGTTCTGCCAGAAGTGGTACTGGTCAAGGAGGACGTCGGGAAGGAGGCCTCGGCCATATTGTTGTCCCTAGGTGGGTAGTCGCAGGTGAGGTAAAGAGTGGGTGGTGGTAGTGGAGTGAGTAGGTGATGTGTCGAATAGAGTGACTATTACATTACGGTTTGAAGTACAATGTAGTAGGTGCGGGTATTTTGTTGGCGAGTAAGTGCAGTGGTAGTAGGTGGTGGGTGTAGGCGAGGCGCCAATGCGAGAGGATGTGGAGTAGGTCCAGGGGGAAGAGTAGTGTATAGAGGAGGTAGATGATAACGAGTAGCCGGAAGGTGACGAAGAGGTTGATGGCTGAGAGGAGTTTGTAGTTATATGATGGATGGTAGTAGTGGTGTGAGTAGGTGATATCATGTGTTTATGTGTAGTTGGTGAGTAGTACTAGTGGTAGTGGGTGATGGGTGTAGGCTCGGCGCCAATGCGAGAGGATGTGGAGAATGTCCAGTGAAAAGAGTAGTGCATAGAGGAGGTAGATGATGACGAGTAGCCAGGAGGTGAGGTGGAATAGTGGGTAGTGGAGTGAGTAGGTGAGGTGTCGAATAAAATGAGTATTAGATTACGGTTTGAAGTATGTAATGTCATTTGGTTGTGTGTAGTTGGTAAGTAGCACTAGTGGTGATAGCACGGCAGTGCGTAGGTGTGATTGTAGGTGTAGAACGTCGAGTGGTATTGTGAGAGAGTATGTTAGGTAGATGATGGCGAGTAGCCAGAAGGGGACA